GTTTAGCCAGGCCTCACATGAGAAACTGCACAGCTTGCCTCCGGGCTCCTTTTCCTTTCTGTTCCTCCACAGGCCCCCACTTGCAGCTGTGTGTGGACGGGAGGAGCCCGCAGCTGCAGCATGACAGAGTAGTGCTAAATAAAACTTGCAAACCTGTTCTCAGCACCCTCTCTCCCAGTCTGCACAAGGCAAAGCAGGGCCCAAGGGCAGAGGGAACATGGTTGGGGGCAAGGCAGCAGCTCCACTTGGCTGTGAAAGCGGAGCTTGGGCAGAGCCCAGCAAGAACCAGTGGTATGGGAGACTTGGAGGAGCTGAGACCTGAACAACTACAAGGGGAAGCTTCATCAGAGGGAGAGGCTGCATCCAAAGTAGAAATGTCCCCCCCTTGTCCTGTTCTGGGATGGTGCCAAGAGCCTCCATCCCTGGGAGAAAGAACGGGGTCTGGAGGAATGGCCAGTCAGGTGGCCCCAGCCTCAACCGTCTGTGGGCTGGGGGCTCAGCAACCCCCTCAGGGCTGCTTCTTTCCCTCCTGGAGACCGGAGAAGACAGGAGTAGAAGGGAACATACTCCAGGCACATGGAGTTGGGGCAGCAGCATTCATGATTAGGGTTAAACTCTCACTTGGAGCTTCTCATCCTCCATCTGCCCTGGTGGAAACCCCCCCGCCAGGGTCATTGCCTCAGCACAGCTCTATGCCAGTCCCCACTCCCAGCTCCATCCTTCTGGGCAGGATGGCCAGAAGCCGCTGCAGCACCAACTGCTCCAGGATCTGCTCCCACAGTCCACTGGCCTCCTGGCTGAGCCGAGCCCCTGGGTTTGTCTGGAAGGAGTAAGGAGCCGGGAGCTGGAACAGATGGCGCTCCTGATAGACTGGCAGACCTGGAGGAGATGCTGAGATGGGTGGTGGGGGGAGGGCTTGGCAAACAGGGTGGGCACAGAGCGATGCCTCATGGCCTGTCTGTAAATGTTGGTTCTACAGAAAGTCCCTCCAGGGACTGTCCCCCCACAAAAGCTCCTCCTACAGCAGCTAAAGACAGCTTCTCACCTTTCCTATGGGAGCCTGGCCTCCAGTCACTCTCAGATGCATGCCTTGGTCTCTGGCTGTACTGAACTCCCACACCTAGCTTGAATACCTCAGGCACTCTGTCAGCTCCGCAGCATCACCATTACCTGTCCCTGACCTGCGATGATTTACAATATTTACGTGACCCTCCTTTTGTTCATTATTAACTGAGTCCTGTATCAGTCATTACATTAATTTCCCCGTGACCAGTACTGGGCTAATAGATCTTTATTTAGCCAGGCATAACATTATCATTCTTCCATTCATCCAGACCTTCTCCGGTGTTCCACAGTCTGTTGAAAATTAATGGCCTAGAGAGCTTCTGAGCCAGCTCTTTGAAAACTCTTTAATGCAAGATACCAAGACCTGCTGATTAAGGAATGTGTGACTTCAGCAGCTGCCGGTAAGCATCCTCCTTAGACAAACTGGGAAGTTATGCAATATTGCTGTGTGCTAGGAGGGCACCTTCCCCCATGCAGTTGATGTAGAGGTGGATGGGAAGTTTAAAGTATACTAAGTATACAATAAATACTGGAACTGTATCCTGTTTCCTTTGCCTTGGCCTGAATGCAACTTTCCCAGTTCCTCCCCTTCCCACCCCTGCTCCTTCCCCCTGTGATCAAGCTGCTTGGGTGGGAAAGTTCCCCTGCACTTCAATGCAGGGGTGCCCACCCAAGATGCTTCTTCTGCCAGTACAAGGTGAATAAACCACACCATAACCCTACAGCACCAGGCCATAGCCAGAAGGACAGACATTCATTCAGTTCTACTATGTGCAAACCCAGCAGCTGGTGAACAGGGTGATGGGGGCATTTCAGGCCAGGTGCTGGACTGTCTCCCCACTGAACTGGGGTTCAGGGCATAGGTGGTGGGGTGAAAAGAGAGGTAAGAACTGCAGACACCAGCCTGTGTCAGCGGCAAAGGTCTGGCCCATGGGATCGCCGGTGTTTGTTGAGAGCCGAAGTGGAGGCAAAGCGTTTCCCACAGTGGGTGCAGTGGTGTGGCCTCTCCCCAGTGTGCACATGCTGGTGTGTGGTGAGTGCGGAGCTCTCGGCAAAGCGCTTCCCACACTGCATGCAGGGGTACGGCTTCTCCCCGCTGTGGATGAGCTGGTGCTTGGTGAGCGCAGAGCTCTGCCGGAAGCGCTTGCCGCACTGGGCACAGCGGTGTGGCCTCTCCCCGGTGTGGATGAGCTGGTGCTTGGCAATGGCGGAGCTCTGTGTGAAGCGCTTCCCGCACTGCGCGCAGCAGAAGGGCTTCTCCCCCGTGTGCACGCGCTGGTGGTCACGCAGGCGGGACAGGTAGGCGAAGCCTTTCCCACAGTCGGCACAATGGTGCAGCATATCCCCCGCGTGCAGGCGCTGGTGGTCACGCAGGCGGGATTGGTTGGTGAAGCTCTTCTCACACTCAGGGCAGCGGTATGGTTTTTCCCCTGTGTGGACACGCCCATGGACACGCAGGCGGGATGGGCAGTCAAAGCTCTTCCCGCATTGCGTGCAGCGGTGTGGCTTCTCCCCACTGTGGATACGCCGGTGCACGCGCAGGCCATCCCGGCGGGTGAAGCTCTTCCCGCAGTCTGGGCAGAGGTGGGGACGGTCCCCTGAGTGGATGCGCAGGTGCACCTGGAGCTGGAACAGGCGCGAGAAGCGCTTCCCGCACTCGTGGCAGGGGTGAGGCTGCTCACCCAAGTGCATCCTCTGGTGTTCCACGAGGTGGCACTTATACTGGAAGCTCTCCCCACACATGGTGCAGGGGTGGGCCAGCTCCCTCCCATGGGCCTCCCCGTGCGCCCTGACCTCCTGCAGGTCCCAGAGGCTTTCTCCACACTCTCCACATATATACAGTTCCTGTCCACTGTGAGTACTGCCCTCAGGGCTCCTTGGGTCTTTCTGTCCCTCAACTCCTTCTCTGCAGACAGGGCTCTTTTGAGGCTCTGCTGTTCTCTGTCCCCATTGCTCAGGTAGCTGGTTTCTGCCTGGAACCAGCTCCAGGTTTGCAGGCTCTTCCTCTGGGGGCTGCTGCTCAGCTCTGCTCAGTATCGCAGCACCTGCTATGTGGAGAACAGAACCCAAAAATTAGTCCCCGTCTCCTGACAAAGAGAAAGCCCTGGCACTCCCTTGTGCTGGTACGGGTCTCAAAGCAAGCGCCAGGCCTTGGAACCTGGGCACTTGTGAGAGCAAGAGGTGCAATTCCACACGTCCCAGTGTGGCGGGTGGCAGGGCAGGTCAGTGTGCCATGCTAATGTTGCCTAATTCCCAAGGGGATTGCTGATCCAATGTTCCAAATCATGTAGTTTTCAGGGGGCTCTGTCCCAAATCCAAGCCCTGGCTGAGCATGGTGAAGTACATCACCTCAGAGCTCTTGGGAGGAGACACGTGTGGGATGCATGCACTAGCAAATGCTCTGAATGGCTCCACGCACTCTACAGCCAAGTGTGAGACCAGAGGCACCTCTAACTGCTGGTCTCTATAACAGCAGTGACTGGGACTGTGGAAGGAAATCCTTTACTTGAAAGAAAAGGTCTTCTGTAGCTATTGAGCCTGGGAGGGATCCAGCTTCTGAATCAGCCCTTCCTAGACCTTAAATGCTGGAGGCTGCAAGTGAGAGAGGAACAGGGGAAAAACCCTAGTCATCCCCAGTTCATTCTCCCTTTCAGCATCCACTCTCTCACTGCGTGACAGGATACTGGGCAAGACGGGCCTATGGTCTGATCCAGTCAACAGCAATTCTTACATTCTTGTGTAGATGTTGCTGAGCACTCCTCAACCCACCTAAATTCCCTGCCATGCTTGAGACTCATGAGTCCACTTGTAAGGGAGCCTGGGGCTTTGACCCAGTGTTCACTCTTGAGCTCTAGGTCTCTGGGGAACCTGAGAACAGAATCTGCGGACAAGTCTGAAGCTTCCCAATAGCAAGCTTTCGGGTCTGGCATGTGTGACCAGACATGGGTCTGGGAACATACTGAAAACTCCCTCTCTGACACAGACCACTGCTGTGCTACAAGCAAGCCCTAAAGGCTTCTGAGCCTAGAAAAGAAAGCCAAACTAATATATAACACTGCTCAAGGAAATGTTCTAGGATGAGAGGGAAACATCCTAGGAAGAGATCTGCAACTGATAAGCCAGGCCTGAAATCTGCTCTCCAGCTCCCTTCTGGGAGGAGCAGAGCTCTGCTTCATGCCTGCTTGTAGGGAAGGACCTGGTCTGGGGAATAAGCCCATGGAGCTTTCTTCTGCCAACAAGTCCCAGGTATCCTCTGTATCAGAAGAATCTAAACCAGCAAAGGCTTTGAGAGTAACCTACACATGAACTCTAAGTCTCAGGGCACAGGGTTTGTGACATTCAGGGCCCCAAGAAATGCAGCAAGAAGAGGGAGGTTCTGGTGCAAATCTTGAGTTTAGATCTCTCAGCGCATGGTAGTTAATAAACACCACCCACACCAGGAAGCCATGTAACACAGCCCGAGATACTGATTAAACACTGCCTTTATTCCCTGGTCTGTTATGGAGGGGTATCCAGTTCCAACTAAGCAAGAGGAACCAGCAGCTGTGGTTAAGAGAACCAAAGCCTATCTGTAGTCCACCCCTGGTGGCTCCCAGAGCTTGTGCCCACTATGACAACTGCCACAGGGCAATACACGTCCCATCATGCCCTGCCAGAAGGCATTAGAGGGGCATGGCCACTTAGCCTGAAATGTCCATCTTCACTCAGCAGCATAAGAGTTGATACCTCAACTCATGGTATCCCAAGGGTACCAGATTTGTGCTTAATAGAGACATCAAGCAAGCCTTCGGCCCTAGCCCTGAATAACTTCTCTGCGGGTGGAGCTCCACCCACCATCCCTCAACTTCCAGCCAAGGTGCGTGGGGCTCAATCTCCAGAAAGGGGGACAATAGGAGACAATGCTGATCAAATGAATTTGGATTTCATATCCCAACATCCCTAATAATTGAATCATAGAAAAATCAGGTTTGGAAGGGACCTTGGAAGGTCATCTAGTCTAATGTCCTGCTCAAAGCAGGACCATCTCCAACTGTCTCATCCTACCCAAGGCTTTGTCTAGCCGAGATGGAGGATGGAGATCCCTTCACCTCTCTGGGTAACCTGTGCCAGTGCTTTCCTACCCTCCTAGGGAGGAAGTTCTTCCTAATATTTAACCTAAACTCCCCTTGCTGCAACTTGAGCCCATTGCTCCTTGTTCTGTCATGTGCCACCACTGAGAACCGTCCAGCTCCATCCTCTTTCGAACCACCCTGCAGGGAGTTGAAGGCTGCTATTAATTCCCCTCTGTCTTCTCTTCTCCAAACTAAATACACCCAGTTCCCTCAGCCTCTTCTCATAAATCATGTCCCCCAGCCCCCTGTTGTCATTGCCCTCCACCGGACTCTCTCCACATCCTTTCTGTAGTGGGGGGCCCAAAACGACACAGGATTCCAGATGTGGCCTCACCAGTGCTGAACAGAGGGGAATAATCGCTTCCCTTGATTTGCTGGCAATGCTCCTACTAATGCAGCCCAATATGCCATTAGCCACCTTCACAACAAGGCCACACTGCTGGTTCATATTCTGTTTATTTGCTCATTGTAACCCCCAAGTCCTTTTCTGCAGAGCTGCTGCTTAACTAGTCAGTCCCTAGCCTGTACGGGTGCAGGGCCCACAGGTGACTGTTCTAATAGGAGAACAATCACCTGTGCCCATATCACTGAATTGCAGGAAGGGGGCACATACTTGGCTGGATAACACAGATGAGGATAAACCATTTGAGGTCAGTACCTGGAACAACAGCTCAGGGCAGGTGTGCAGAGTTCCAGCTCTCTGTCACTCTGGATAAGTGGGAGAGGGGAGGGAGGGCAGGAGGGACTGCCACAACTCACCTGGCAAGTGGCCCTCAGACCATGAGTTTTCTCCAGGGCTCTCATCACAAACCCAGAGCTCCATTTCCCCTCGCTGGATGCGGCCGATTAAGTCTGGTGTGGGACCTTGATATCCTGTTTGGGGAAATGTTACAGAATCCTTTAATAGGGTGGCCCTTGTCAGCCAGGTAAGTGAGAAAATGGCTGCATGAAATATAAAGCGTCAGCCACTAGCTGGTATAAAGCCACTAGTATATAAAGTTCCAAGCAGCCCCATGCAAGAAGGACAGAGGTACACTGATCTGTGATGTATGAGGAAGAAGAAAGTGAAAAACCAAAAACAAAGGAACCCGCACTTCCACATATTTTCAAGATGGCAAGCTAAGACAGAAAAGAGGCAGACACACTTATGGATGGATACAACTAGAAATGGACTTATTCTTGGTGAAGATTTGCACTGATGACTTTTGGAAGTGGAAAGTGTTAGTGACAACTGGGTGACAATGAAGCTTTATGCGGGAGAGAAACCATGTGTGTGTAATCGCCTATATAACAGTGCACAGAAAATGATGACATTACAGTAACTGTAGTTGCAGCTATACACTGAGCTCCAGATATGGTCTGAGGAAGCAGGATTGTTCTGAGACTCCTGGCAAAATTCAGTAGTCCAAAAGAATGATTATATGAAGACTTTATTAAAGCTCTTAATTTGTCAGTTGTATGAAGCCATGCAAAACTCTTTTATTATTTCCGTTACAACCAATAAGGTCTTTTTCAAATCCTGAAAAAAGAATCAAATCAGTCATATTATGGAGAAGGAAATCAGAACACTAAAAATAAGGGGAACGGTTAATAACCTGGAAAGATTGCAAATAACAAAAAAAAGGTTAAGAACTTAAGACAGAAAAAATTACAAGTCCTGACAACCTAAATTTCCTTAGCAACTCCATAACCGTAGAACTAACATGCTGACAGCCTGTTAAGGCAGCCTACTTTACTCAAGTTCCAGAGACCAAGTCCTGAAAGCCAGTGTATCCGACACCTATAGGTAGGTTCCTCCGATGGAACAAGATTTCACCGCAAGAAAAACACAAGTTAAAGATAGGACCACCCTTTTATTAGCCAACTGTCACTAAGAAGAGGCCTTAGTGCTAACATTAAAAGCAGACCTTTTATTTTCTACTCTTTGCAGCAAGGCTAGATACAACCATCTTAAATCCTTTCAGTTCCCTCTTTGTTCCCTGTCTATGTACCGTGTCTCACTTTTACCCTCGTCCTACAGACCTTTCACCTACAATATCCCCATGAATGTTACTACTGTATTTACTCGAATCTAAAATGAGATGTGTTCTTCGCCACCCCCCCCACTTCCAGCCAGCATGGGAAGAGCTCATCTCAGATTCACGTGTGTGTGTGTGTGTGTGTGTGTGTGTGTGGGAAGAGGAGCTCCTCATCTCAGATTCACATACGTGTGTGTGTGTGTACAGGGTGGGGGGAAGGATAGAGGCAGAAACAAGAGAGTTGGGGGTGCAGGTGGCATGAAAGCTGCAGGAGGAAGGAAGTCAGGAGGGGCAGAGGGCAAAGTGGCTGCTTGACACCCACCAAGCCACCACTTTCCCTGCTGTAGCAGTTGGGAGGGGAGGGAGGGAAACAAATTCAAGACAACGCTCCAACTTGGATTCTATACCTAGATTACAACACATTTTATAAATTTCCCATATACAGAATCATATTGTGGGGGGGATAACTTTTAATTCAGGGTCATGTTAGATTCAAGCAAATATCGTTCCTTAAATTCTCTTCCTCTTAACCTCACTCCATGAAATCACTTGAGTGAGCTATTTCTGATCTATTTGTTTCAAGCACCTTAATGCTTACTTAAGTCTACCTGTATCAGCCTTTTCATTCAATAGAAAGATCATTACAGCAGTAGATCTAAATTGGTCGGTCAGTAACTACCGCAGCATCTAGCACAGTCCACTACATGTATAGATTATAGGGAAGAGGAAGAGGAAGAACAGCCTGCAAAAGCCCAGAATGTGTGGTACTGGTCAATAATTTCCCCCCCAAAAGGATGAGCATAGCTGATGTGACTGCAGAGCCACCGCTCATTATCTTTGAAAGCTCATGGGCACCACGGGAGGTCCTGGGCAATTGGAAAAGGGCAAATATAGTGCCCATCTTTAAGAAAGGGAAGGAGGGTCCAGTCAGCCTCGTCTCTGTGCCTGGAAACCTCATGGAGCAGGTCCGCAGGGAATCCATTTCTAAGCACTTGGAGGAGGAGGAGAAGGCGATTAGGCACGGGGCTGGGGGCTGCGGCCAGCGGTGGTGGCGGCCTAGAAAAGTGAGGCAGGCTGGGGCTGGGGCTGCGGCCTGGTCCGTGTTCCCGCCTCGGGCCCCCGCGCGCGCGCGCGGCAGGCCTTTACCCAGGCAGACAAGGGCCTCGTAGATCCGCAGCATCTGGTCCCGGTAAAGCGCCTTGTCCCCGTCCCCCAGGAGCCGCCACTCGGCCCGCGTGAAGCGCAGCGCCACCTCCTCGAAGCGCCCCGGGCCGCCACCGGCTGCCCCCTGAGCGCCGGCCATCCCCGGCGGACCCGGACTCTATGGTCCGCCCGGCACTCTGTGGTCGCCGCGCGAACGCTCTGGCGGCCCTGGAGGACTGAGACTCGATGGTGGCGGCAAGCGCCGCGTTAACCCGTTCCATCCCGCGCCTTGCCCAGAGGAGTGTGAACCCCACCCCCCTCTCCCCGGTCATGGAGTCTCCCACCACGCACAGGCCCAACCTGCATGCACACACACGCGCACACCCCACACAGCCCTTACCCACGCGTGCATGGGGGGATAAATGTGTGGGCCCCCAGTGCCTGGGTTTCCTTGGGGTGGAGGGGCTGTTCCCCCCCTGCCCTGCAACACGCACCGGGGTCAGGAGTGAGGGGTGCTGGGCTGGGCTGGGAGTGCTCATCGGCATTTACACACGGGTCCTGGTCCAAAAAAAGGTTGAGAACTACGGAGCTAGGCATCAAGGCATGGCAGGCGAGAAAGGAGCGGTGCCCGAGAGCCCCAGAGGCTGGCTAAACAGCTGCTGTGTCTCAGTGCCCACGACGGCATTTTAAAGATGTCCTTACCCTGGCATCTGCAGCTGTTATTGCCACTGTTTTCCATCTCCAGCTGCGTCGGACGCTGCGTCTCTTCCACTTAAGGGTGGACCGGGCTCCAGAGCTGCCCCTGGCCAGGTCCTCTCAGCTCCATCCCTGCTGCTCTCTGTACCTGGGAAGGCAAACGCAGACCTCGTCAGGTCTCCGTCTCGTTCTCTGTGTCAGAAGAGTCAGCCTGGGTGTGTCCCTCCACTGTCCACCAGTGACCCCAGTCCTCTCTGGTCTTCGGGTCAAATTCAAAGGGGTGCTTTTAACCATCAGCACCTTCAGGGGACTGGGCCCAGGTTGTCACAAGCCTTGCTCTCCACAGCCAGGACCTGCCAGCGGAGCTGCGTTCTTCAAACAGGGGATTGATGCCTGCAAAGGAGACTGGGCAGAGTGAAGCGCAGAAGGTTTTTCATAGATATTAGGGTTGGAAGGGACCTCAGCAGATCGAGTCTGACCCCCTGCCCTGGGCTGGAAAGAGAGCTGGGGTTATATGACCCCAGCCAGGTGTTTGTCCAGTCTTCTCTTAAAGACCCCCCCAGGCAGGGGAGAGCACCACCTCCCCTGGCAGCCCTTTCCAGATGTTGGCTACCCTTACTATATCTCAGCAGCTGTTCTGTAGTTACAGCTCCTCTTTCTACAGGAAATCAAAATGGATGCAGGCTTCACTGTTCTCAGTCCCAGTTTCAGCCCCTTCCTACCCTTCCCGTGGTAATCAGAAGGGAAAGTACCAAGCAGTTAGGCCATGGGGAGATGTGCTGCTGAAAGTGCTCTGAGCAGTAAGAGCACAGACATGCAAGGCTGAAGGAGCATTTCAATAATACCTCTCAAACTTGAAAAACATCTTTGTCTCTATGGGCCAGTGGTCCTCCAGCATCCCGCAGTGCTCTGCTCCTCTCCCCACAACCAAGTGGACTGCCAGACAGGGGTGAATTCCAGTAAGCGCTCTCCTTTGCACTGGGCTATGCTCAGAAACCTCTGGAGACTGGAGCCAAGAGGCGTGCAGGGATTCCCGCTCCATAGCCCAAGTGCCGGAGAAGAATGTCGCCACATGCTGTTTTAGACGTTTTTAAGTGCTCAAGGACTCGGCGCCCTTCAAGTACGTGTCAGACCCATGGCTTTAACCCCTGCTGGACTCTTCATTCATATAAGTGTTCAGATACTAGGGTGATGAACACAATAGACTTATATGGATATGGCCATTAATTAGCATTTGCTATGCAGCAAAAAGCTGTGCTTTTTATTGCCAATAGAAGTTTGGTGTGTTGATGCAAAACCCCTTCAAGGTGGAGAGACTTATAGAAAGGCAGGGCTGGAGAGGCACTGAAGCAAGGCATCCTGAGCTGACCAGTTGGTTTGGATTTCTGTTGGTAAATTCAATTGATAGGCTTTACAGAGTAGTGCCAGCTACCAGCCAGCAAAGGTTAATTGGGGGGAGTGGGGAGCAGGTTATCAGCTGGCTTCCTGTAACATATTTGTCTTCCTAGCAGTGGTTTTTGCATGGGAATTTAGTCTGGACAGTACCCAAAAACATCTAGTTACAACATATTTACTTATGACTAAGCTCTCGGTCCAGCTTGGTTAACGTGCAGTAAGTCTGCTAACAGGAGAGGAGGCCTTGACAGGAAGGCAATGGTGAAAGCCAATCCAAGCAGGTGCAGTAGGTGAGGGCCCTGCGCTGGGAAGCACACTGTGACAGCATGCTATTGTAGGCTCTGCCACTGAGCTGCATTGTATCCTTGGGCAAGTCACCTTTCTGCCATGTGGCTCTGGGCTAGCAGTTCTTTGGCAGAATTCTGGTTCTTCATGTATATGTAGCATCTGGCGTAGGGGGGCCTCCTCTTGGTTGGGGTTGACATCAGTAGAGCTAGGTTGATTTGCTGGGCAAGTTTCTGCCCCATAAGGGCAGAGGCCTAGGCTAGAACTGAAGGCCCTTTCCCTTTCCAGGACAGCTATTCCCTTTTGCTACAGGGAGAATCATAGACATTAGGGTTAGAAGGGGTCTCAGGCAGTCACGTCTAGTCCAACTCCCTGCTCAAAGCAGGACCAGCCCCAACTACATCATTCCAGCCAAGGCTTTGTCAAGCAGGGCCTTACATACCCCCAAGGATGGAAAGTCCACCACCTCTCCAGGTAACCTGTTCCAGTGCTTCACCACCCTTCTAATGAGAACGTTTTTCCTAATATCCAATCTGAATCTCCCTTGCTGCAACTTGAGACCATTGCTCCTTGTTCTGTCATCTGTCACCACTGAGAACAGTCCAGCTCTACAAATCCCCCCTCAGTCTTCTCTTCTGCAGTCTAAATAAACCCAGTTCCCTCAGTCTCTCCTCACAAGTCATGTGCCCCAGCCCCAAAATCACTAAATAGAATAGAAAATCAAACAGCACTTAAGCACCAGAACCTGCATCCACACGGCTACCTACAGGCATGATAGGATTTAGCCCAAAGGGTCGGAGTCTTATCAGCTGAGTTCTTATTTATTGCAGGAAGTTACCCCGGCTTTAACAGGAGTGAGTGAGTGCATTAAGAACCAAGCCCTGCAGTATGCCTATGTATAAAACAGGCCAGCTCCTCACATAATATAGCCTCAGATAATGGCATAAGGCCTATAGATTTCAATGGAGTGACACCAGTTAATATCAGCCAAAGGGTCCAGTCCAGGAGTCATGGATGTTAAGGCCATAAAGGACCAGTAGAACATCAGGTGGGGCCTGCTGTATAACACAGGCTGGAATATTTCACTGGGTTTCCCCTCTATTAAGTCCAACATCTTGTGATTGTCTAAATCTACCAGAAACATCTCTGGTCTAGATGTGATGTGTATGTACAACACAACTCATGCTTCAGCTTGGTTAACCTGTTTTTAACAGACAAGTCAAAGGTCATTAGTTATTCCAGTAATTGAGGTGAGAGTCAATAAGGAAGAACCTGGTGGCTTCTCTGAATGCTTTATTTATCCCCCAGGTCATTTGCATGCTGGTTCATTTGCATACTAATATATTTAATTCCATGCTGTGTTACGTCTCAGCTCTGTGTTCTTGGGCAACCCTGGCACAGGATGCAGTCTGTCTGACTCACAAAGGACTCACCCCCACTCTCTCCCCTCCTCTACCTAAACAAAACTGATTAAGATGCAGTGGGAGACACACCTAAGACCCTCAAGATAAGGGTGACAAGAGTGAACCAACTGCCCTAGGTCTCATTTACATCCGAGATGGAACCAGATGACCGTTCATTTACATGAGAGATGGAGAACAGAAAGCCTGAAGCAGAGACTGCAGTGAATTCTGGGACCAGAGAAGCAGGGGAGCACTGCATGATGGGGAATCTGTGCTTCAAATGTTAATCAACCCATGTTCGGGAATGCTGAGGCAAGAGACCGAGTCAGAGGGGGTATGGGCAACATTTGAACAATGGTTAAGGGTTCATCACAGCATCCAGCCTGCTGGAGCCCTAATCCCAGGTGTTGTCATATCTTTCCCGAGACGACTGGTGGGAGTCCTCTCCACAAAAGGTTATGAGCACCCCAATAATTGCTTTAAGTCTGTTAAAAGACTATAGTAAGATCTGGAAAAGTCATGCTAAGCTGAGGCTTGTGCACAACAAGTAAAAATCCAAAATCCTGATGCTGCAAGCTATCTATTGTTCCTGAAGAAACCATGAGATATCCCATCAGTATATCTGCCACCCATAGGAATTTCAAGCTGGCTCCCAAGTATTTGGGTTACTCCCTAATCTTAAGTGTTTCCTGATTATCAATCAGTTTCCTGAGATGGTCCAAACCAGATAACCCCTTGTCAATAGAAAAGACAATGATTTACACTACTGAGGGTGCTTCGAAGCAGCTGAACTGAGGGTATAAAAATCTGTAAGTGTGTGTGCTGCTAGAGGGAGAAGAGGAAGAGGAAAAGGAAGGAAAAGAAGTAGAAGCAGGAGGAAAGAAGGAGAAGAAGAAAACCCCTGTGCTGACACCATCCCCTGTCGTTCTTGGGACGCTGGAAGAACAGATCATCTCTCCCTTCAAGGACTGTGCTACAGACTGTGCCTGTCAGCTTTGCAGCCTGAGTACCGTGGACTAGGTGAGATCCCAGCGTTCTCTGTCTTCTTTCTAGGCATAAACTTCTGAACCTGAACTGTATCAGTTAAGCTTGAGCTAAGTTTCCCCAAATACTTAGTGAAACCAGGGTAGTATTGTCATTGTTGGTGTTTGTTTTTCTTTTGCATGTCTATTACTACTAGTACTCATGTCTATTACTACTAGTACTCAATAAATAACTTTTATAGTCAAACTGGTAGTAATTGAGTATATTTTTCCTTCTCTGCTTCTCTTTCCTCCCGTGCTCTGCAGCAATGCTTCTTTTACCTAAGCTAAAGATCCCTGTGAAGCCCAAAAATATTGTGGGGTCTGCTCATCAAGAGGCCAAAGATTGGGACGTGCTGAGTTTGAAACACATAAGGGGATCAGCTTGTACAG